AAGCCCGTGGGACATCTGGCACAATGCATTTTTTACACACCAGAGGTTCTCACCCTGATTGACCTCATGTAATGGCACAACTCGATGGGAGGGTAAGACCAGGGGCTGCTTTATGCAGGAACAAATAGATGCTTTTTTTAGAGTCATTTCGAGAAATGACTCTTCCCTAACTCCTCATGGGTATTTTTCAGTTCTCTGCTCCTTTATGTTGCAGATGGATTAGCTGTAAGGATTTCTATCCATTAGGATTTCCAGTCTCTCGGGCTTCTCTTAAGTCCTTGGGATATTGCTGAGCAAAATGCACTTAACAAGAGTGAAGGGACAAGGAGCAGCACTGAGATGGTCAGGTCAGACTGTGCCCACAGTGGAGTGTTATTTCTGATCAAAATCCAGTTCCACAAGTCCTCTTCCAAAGGAATATTTGAGGGGAGACCTCATGGCAGGGGTTGCAGCTTCCTCCTGAGGGGCAGCTCCGATCTCTGCTCTGGGGGAGCAGGGACAGCAGCCAGGGAACGGCTGGAGCTGTGTCAGGGCAGGGTTAGGTTGGATTTTAGGAAAAGGTTCTTCCCCCAGAGGGTGTTTGGGCACTGCCCAGGCTCCCCAGGGCAGTGGGCACAGCCCCAAGGCTGCCAGAGCTCCAGGAGGTTTGGACAATGCTTTGAGGGACAGGGTGGGATTGTTGAGGTGTCTGTGCAGGGCCTGGAGCTGGATGGATGATCCTTGGGGGTCCCTTCCAGCTCAGGATATTCCATGATTCTATATCCATCCTCATTTGCCCAACACAAGATACTCCACTGCAATATTCCACAAAACAGAACAGAAATGGGGTTATCAGCGTTGAACACCCGTGCCTTAATCTTGTTTTAAAACCTGAATTTATACACTGCCAATATTATGATTTTCCCTTAATTATATATGCTAAACCTTGCAAATTACTCATGGGATCTTGAGAAGATACAGCACATCTTCTGAGGTTTAATGGAACATGCCTTAGGAGTGAGATTTCCTTACAAAACAGCTGGGGCACCACTCAACCAAGAGCAAGAATAACAGATAAAACAAAGCAGATTAACCAGCTACACAAACATTGAGCTATTTAAGAGACAAAACCCTGTATGCAGTCAAAACATCTTCCCAAATCCCTTTCACAGACAGAGAAAATAATTTGCATTTTGGAAGTATCTTGCATGACAGAGGCACAAAGGAAGGGAAAGCTGGAATGGAGCCTGTGCCAAGCATACCCTGGTACCAGTAGAGCCAAGTGCAGCAGCAAACATGCAGGCTGGAAAGACAGAATGAAATCCTGATAAGATCAACTGATCAGAAGCACTTTTTGCCTTGCCTTCCTATTCCACTGGTAAGAAGAGAGAGCAATGGAAAGGTATTTGTTTCCAGATAAAACTATCTCTATAAAACTCCCCCCCTTGGGAATTTCAGCATCTGCTACAAATTCTGATCTTATCAAGATTTATTTCCAATTGCAAATGCAAAAGCATCCCTATGTTTAGGGCTCAGATTTGCAGAGTTCCAAGCTCTCCTTGAGACCCAGGAAACCTGAGAGGTGCCTGGGCTGCCAACTACTCATTTCCACGGACACAACCCCAAACCAGCAAGGCCTAAATCAAGCACAAAGCAGCCAAACACAGTGTAAATTAAATAAAGGACAGGATGCAATGCCCCAGAAGAAACAAACTGCCCCAGACAGGAATGCAACTAAAGCACCACCCCCTAAATACAGACCTTTGTGCACCTGAGGACTCAGCTGAAGCGTTGCAGTGTAAAGTGCCACACAATAACTCAGACTGGGGATAAATTAATAACAGGCTTAATTACATGGTTGATATCAGTGGCCAAAAGGATTTGGTTTTTTTTTTTAAAGTGTTTTTGTATAAATTTGCCTGTATTTTTTCAAGAACCTACTGTTTTGCATCAGGATTATTTGTATGAACCAACTGCCCTGAGCTGTTGGAGTGGGTGTTGTTTTCATGCTGCTGCCTCTCTCTGTAGAATATTCCATTATTCTCATCCCAAACCATTATTCTCATCCCAAACCCCATCCTGCAGGAGACTTAAGGAGTGCTAAAGTGGTGCCAACTGCCAGTTACTAAAGACATTTCATAAAAATTAATAAGCCCATGAAGTTACAGTGCTCACTAACTCCTTACAACCACCACATGACACACTGGAAATCCCAGCTGGTCAGTACTTCCCAATCCTGTTCTTTTCCAGGGTGGCAATGGAATTGTGAAGGCTGTTATTAGGTTATCCCCAAACACGGATCCACAGAAGCTCACAGGCTCAGAGTGACCATCTAGGGATGCACAAGGAGATGATGTTGCTTTGGCAGCAAACCACACTCACCAGAGAACGCTCCCAGATCAACTGATGCTCAATCTCACAGCTGGCAAAGCACTTGGGTAAAAAGTATTATAAAGCAGAAAACAAGAGAGCCTTATTTTACAGTACCTGCCATTGCCTTACAGAACTGCTTTGCCTTAAAGATAGAAGTTAAAAAAGGTTTAGAAGCTGTTCAACACACCCTGACATTGAAAAGGACAGACATTACCTATGGATTTGTGGGCTTGGATGGATCTTTTTAATTGCCATTGATCTGATCACATCCTGACCAGCCTAGTCAGACAACAGAAGGATAAAAGAGATTTTGACCAAAATTAAAAGTAATGCTAGAAAAGACACAATGTGCTAGAAGCTTCAAAATTCAAGTCCTGAGCAAGAATTTAGGATATTACACAACATACAGCAACCACCTCCAACCACTGCATTGAGGACTTGGCAACATGAAACCACATCAAGGTCAACACTTAAATTATCAAAATAAGGTGGTTGGGCAATACAATTCCTTGTTGGGCAATATGATTTCTCTGTCCACCCATCCCAGGTCCTCTTCCCATCCCTTTTGTGGGGGATGAGCAGCTTCTTATTCCAAATTCCCCCTGCAGAGAACAAACCAGTGGCACTGCAAGAGTTGCCTCTGGCAAAGAAGGGATAGCACATCAGAGTTTACAACTGATATCAATTTTGTTCTGCTGCTTTTGCTTCCCTCATTTTATAAATGAAGTTAAAGCTCTGCTCTGGTGCCAGGCTCGTCCCAGGGAGCAGCAGCACGAGCAGCCAGATCTGCCTTCCTGGGATCCCTTGTGACAGCACAGGATGAGCCAAATGCTTTATCCAGAATAAATAATCTCACCAAAGAAAAGCTGGCAGTTAGAATCAAAAATTACTCTTGATACAGTCTCTGAACACAACCTGAGCTCCAACCAGCCAAAACCCAACCAGAGGCTCGTGTCCTGTCATGGAGCAGACAAATGGTGGTTCATTAAGAACGTGGCTTCTTCACTTACAAAACCCAAAAGGAGCATTTTTGTCCTCAGACAGAGGCTCTCACAGCTGAGTTGTGCAGGATCTGCATCACCTCTGCCCTCAGAACAACTTTCTGCAATTGCTTTTTCCTACCATTCAGTGTCTGAAGCGAAGAGGGAGAAGGTGTTAGTGTGACATCAAGCATTTGGTAGAGGGCTGAACATTCTGACCTCCCTGCAAACAAAGCCTGTCTTAAACCAAGCTGGATTTAATCCTCAGTCAAGTTATTCCAGTCAGTTTAAAAGCTCAGAGCTGTGTGTCCCCTCTCCCCAAGAGCACTAAACCCACACCCAAGAGTGTCCAGTTGACCCAACACTCTGAAAGCCACCAGCAGTGACCCAAGGTCTGATGGTTTCTGGTTTGAGAAAGGAATACAGAGGGTTAGTCCAAGCAATTAATTAACACAGGTTGTTAACACAGCTTTTTTTGTTAATAAGCAGTGGAAAGGAGGATGTGATTTGCAACAACATTTATTAATGATAAATGTACATATTTACAAAGGAAAATCTGAGAAAAAATACAAAACCGAAAAAGTGTTCCGAAAGAGAGCATTTTAGGTAAAAAAGAAAGTGTTTTTAGTCCCCACAAACTGACCCAACACCACTGTGTACCACTGATAGAAGATCCCAAAGGGGCCCAAAGCAAGGCCAGTCCTTCCCTCCAGCCTCACAAACCATGATGGACACAAACAGGGACACGAGAGGAACCACCACTGACAGGTTCTCCAGTGTCTCCCACTACCAAGTACAGACCAGAGAGTTCCTGCATGAATCCATAATCCTTTTTTGAGGCTGAATTTACCCAGAAAGCTTCCTTCCTCATTCTGTAGGTCAGAACAGGTGCCAGCAACTCACGACCAGAAAAAAGAAAACCCAACAAAGTGGAATAATTCTCAGAGTGACAAATTACTGACACTGATGTGAAGTGAAAGACACTTTGCCCACAACCATCAGGAGTTGGACTCTGTGTTCCTTATGGGTCCCTTCCAACTCAGGATATTCCATGATTTTATGACAACCTTCCCAGGAGCCCCATGGTACAGACACAGCAAGGCCAGCCCAGCCTCTTTCCTCCAAACACAAACTACTCCCTTGGTGCCACGTTGAGGAAATCCACTTCTCCTTGTTACTTCAGGAGGGAAACAGGGAATACCTACTCTTTGGGGTCACCACTGCACAAACTGCAAGGGAGGGGAGCTGGTCTTGGCTGAACTCCATGCCCTGACCTGCCCATGGAGAGTCCTCAGCTCATCTTCTACTGACCCCCCAAGAGAGGCAGCACGTGGCAGGAGAAGCAGCCAACACCTTCATTTACCTGCTCACTTTTAACAGTGGGAAAGAAAAAAGGGATGTTGTTTTGCAGCAGTGAACACCTCGAGCATCAGCACATGCAGAGCCCGACACCCAGCACGGCCTGGGAGCTGAACCCGAGTTCCAAGCCACCAGCAGCATTTTGCTGCTTAAAATTACTGATGTCCACCTTTTCCTAAAGCAGGAAAGCACAAGAGATTCATGTATGTTTTAGGTGGTGTTGAGAAGAGATGGAACCAGGGTAAGAAGTTTCAGAAAGTGAGTGTGGAGCCAACCACACCAATCACGATGGAAAATGCTGGAGCCCTGACAGCTCCTAAGGGGATCCCACACAGGAGCACCAAAGAGCCGAGTGACCACACCACAAAACACTGGGAAAGCCTAATTAACATCAAAACTGCTGTCAGACTTATCCTGGTGTGCCAGAGTCACCAAAATGTCATTTTCTGCAGCAGGCCACATTGAAAAATCAGGATTTCTCATGCCAGCTGGGAGGAGGTTACGCGCTGCAGACAATTCCAGGATCCTGGAAGGATCTAGGAAGGGATAACTCAGTTCTCCATCCCTCACAGCCTGGCATGGGTGTGTGAATCCCTGTCAATGGGTGCCAGTGTCAGGGCAGGCGGCCAGGGATTGCCAGTGTTCCCAGCAAGTTTGTTCCTGAGGAAAACAGGGAGTGGTACAGAGTTGGTTCCTTTACAAAACCCCTGAGACCTCTGCTCTTAAACAGCACTAGAGTCAGTGAGCTCTCCCTGTGCTCAAAGGATGACAGCAGGCATCCCAAAATCCCTCCTCTGAGGGCTGAGTCCTGCACAGACACCAAGGGAAAAGGGTGAAACCACAGCACCAAGGTGTAAGGGACAGGAATGTGCACAAATGGGAGAGAGAACGTGCAGGAACGAGACCTTACACGGAATGCCATGGACTGTCACTCCCTTTGCCTTGCAAGTAAACAGGAAAAAAAGCAGAGGAGGGACTGGAAAAGGGGCTGGAGCCCAGAGGGCACATCCCTGTGGCATCAGATGGATGAGGTTTCTGTTCCTGATAAAGCTACAGGAATTCTCTGTCAGGAGGGATCATACCCACCTGGAGGAATATAACTGGCCTCTAAACTGCCAGAGAAACAGAAAGCATTTGTTCCATTTCTTTATACTCTGCAGTGATAACTGGTATACAAATCCCAAAAATGTTCCTGAGTGTTCTCAGAGTGTAAAGTTTCCAAGGTTTTTTGCTGAAGACAACCAGCCTTATCTCAAGATTAAAAAAGAGAGAGAAAGAGACCGTTTGAATTAAAGAATTACAGAATTGAGCTGAAGTGGCAGAGCCCACCTCTCATCCCTCTGGGATGAGACACCCTGAGCACTCTGGTCAGATATTGCTCTGGGCAAAGAGTTTTAAACTTCAGGTCCTTTGGAATTGGGTGACAGAGCTACAGAAACCATGGCTTTGCCAAAGCCACCCATGTGGCTTCCAAGTCCTTGTCAAGGAACCAAAAAGACACACACAGGAACCTCAGCTGTGCATTCCAAGAGGGATCCCGAGCAATGGCTTTGGGAAGGGAGCACCTGTTGTGTTTAAGCCGCTCTTCTCCAGGAAATATGGACAGAAAATGAACAAAGAGACACCCACACAACTCCCATCCCTTCCCTCCCCAGCCAGGTTGGGGAGAGCAAACAGTCCCTGTTTTTCATCATGTCTGTTCCAATTTTGGGAAGGAGATGCAGGCAGGGAATCCCAGCCAGAAGCATCCCCCTGGCTTCTTCCATCCTGCATCTTCTGCACGTGGCACCTCAACATCTCATTCCACCTCTCCTCTCCAGGGCCCACTTTTGTCTTCCTAAACTCCACCCCGAACTCGCTGGAGTTCAAGTGCATTCCAAGGGATGCTCCAAGGATGCAGGGACACAGCCTGCTGACACTTTCCTTCACCTGGACACCTGGACAACAACCCTCTGACTCCTACACTTCCAAGCACTGAAGGAGGAAGACTGTGTATTAAAGGCAGTGTATTAAAAAGGGAAGAATCTTTTCCAATGAAAAATCAGCATCCTCACAAAACAAAGTCCTAAAGGCACAAACCGGTGAACTAATCAGAGCAGGGTACAAGAGGAACTAGAAAGATTCCTGTGGGACTAAAACAAAGAGTTTCACTACCAATCTAAGTTTCTGAGACAGCATTTAGAGCCTCAACCTGTACACTGAAAGCAAGAGGTGGCTCGAGTGGTCCGTGACACACCACAGACCCTCTGACCAGACAGCACATGCCATGTTTGCCTTATTCCTGCAAGCTTATCTGCTTCCTAAATAACACTGTTCACATGGATACAGATCTAGAAAGGGTTATAAATACATGTATTTATATATATTCACACATTTTAGTCCCTGTAATAGAGGTCTGCTCCTTTCTCTCCCGTGTTGCTGGAGCAGCTGCCACCACTGGTGGCACTGGGGGCTGTTCCCAGAGTAACTGTGTCCAGCCCAATCCTCCAGCAGCTGCAGGAAAACACGGATTAGTGCTGAAAGGAGACACGGGGGGCTCAGCTCAGCCCCATCTTTACTATTTACAGAAAAGAAACCCCTTAGACACAAAGTCCCACCTTCCCTCCAGCTCACAAAGCAGCTCTGCTCAGCCCAGCTGGGCTGGAGCCTGCACAGCTCAGCCAGGAGAACTGGGATAAACAGGAGCATCATCCACACATTTACACTGTAGGCAGTAAACAACAAGCAGCATGCAAGGGTTTGGGTAAAGAAGTCAAAAACAATCGAGGGCTTTAACATTTAGAAGTGTGTCCTGATGTGGCCAAGCCAACATGGCAACAGAGGGGATGTTAAAACAGCAGGTGACTCCAGCCCTGTGACCTCAGCAAACACGAGTCCATTAGTTCCACACAAATGAAACAAAACACATCCCGAGCGCACCGAGACCATCAGATTCCAAGACATGATTAATCTAGGTTGACAATTAATATCTCCTTGCAGTGGGTTTTCTCCTGCAACACTGTGTATTTTCTTGGACACGTGAAGAGGGGTGGAGAGGGAAGCCGGGATGCTTTGCCAAAGGCTTCACCCACTGGGAAAAGAAAAGCTGCCTGTCCCTGTCCCTGAGTCATCACCAACAGCAGTGAGAACCAGTACTTTGTATTGAAATGCCAATCTGAGTTTCCTAGGAAAGGGGTGGTTATGGATTAGATCCTGATATTCTTCCCAGAGATTCAACCTCTTGTTGCCCAGAGAGGTTGTGGACTCCCCATCCCTGGAAGTGTCCAAGGCCAGGTTAGACAGGGCTTGGAGCAACCTGGGCTAGTGGAAGGTGTCCCTGCTCCTGGCAGGGGGTTGGAATGACATGGGCTTTAAGGTCCCTTCCAACCCAAACCATTCCAGGATTCCATAATTCAGCAGATTACTGCCAAGCCTCTTTTGGACCAGTATCAAAGGTTCTCCAGTTTTTGAACATCTTACATTAAAAACAACAAGTTTTAAAGCAATTTTCCAGCAATTCCTATGTGAAGTCTACAGGGGCTCACAGGAAGCCAGCGACTCCTCCCATCACTTCCTCTCCCCGTCTGCTCTCTCACAGCAATCAGGAACAGGGTTCAAAGAATTTGCTTTTGCACAGTAGGAGGACTTCCAGAAGGGACCTGGCAATCCCAGACCACTCCTGCCAGGTCCCATCCCAGCCACACAAGGACACACAGAGGGGTTTAACAGGACGGTCGCGGGATGTCCCTCCCCGGGACAGCGAACTAGAGAGATCAAAGACCAGGACAAGGAAGATGCAGCAGAGGCTACGGCCAAGAAATTCAGGAGCTTTGGTCTTGAGGTTTCAACACGACCCTGTTGCCACTCAGAGAAAGAGCAGCCACCAAACAGTCAGCGCTACAACGAGGAGAAAGGACATCATAAAGGGAATGCGTGGAGAAGGAAAAATGCTAGAGTACAGCTGACACTTTTTGAGTGCTTTCTGCTCTTCAGGAATTGCAATTGAAACCTTTGGAAGAGTTTCTTCACTTGCTGGCCGGGGAAAGGCTGTCTCAGTAGGTATCTGCTGCTTTTTTAATTTGTCTTCATCCTGTACTAACAGAGGACGTTCCCGTTTCTGCTTTCGTGGTAGAAGATCAAGAAAGACAGAGAGAGATGAACAAAAATGACAGATGGAAAGTGCCCAAAAGTGACACTTGGAGGTGTGCAAAGCATTAGGACAGCTCTTCTCAACATAAAATAAACTGCCCTGGGGAGCAGAGCAGCCGGTGGCCTGGGCCACACGAGCCTTGGAGCTACAGAACCATGTCCTCCCTGCAGAGCTGATCAACATCTGGATCAGGGTTGTGGTGGTTTGTGCCTGCCCTGCCAGGAAAGCAGGTGCTCAGAACCTCCTGGAGCGTTTTGGAATTGGAATGGTCGAGAAAAAAGTTGGAGGCATTAGAAACAGGAATGGTGCAGTACAAAAGGTGGTCTCTGACAGCTTCCTAATCTACCCTTAAAACCAGCGTTTGGCAAATCCCATGGAACAGCCAGACTGCAGAGCAGATACAAAAGGCTTTTTCCAAAGTTCTGACCAGAGTATCAAAACACTGATTGGTCTGAAAATTCTACTGGAACAAGTGTAAAATTGCTATTCTCAGAAATGCCACGTGTGGAACGGGCAGGATGGCAGTGGGAGCACTGCAAGCTCCTGGAATTTTTGCTCCGTGTTTTAGCACTTTTGTTTCTGGAGTCTGAGGAACGTCAAAAACCCGGAATGAGTAAATCAGCACACAGGACCATGCAAAGCCTCCAGCACTTCTGCTGAAGAAAGAAAAGACTGTGGGAATGTTGCTGTGCAGTAACTCTCCATCCCTTTAGTTTGGCAGCCCTGGGCAAATCCAAGTGTACTTAGGAGAGGAAAAACTTGGCTCTAAGCTCCCTCAGATGAGCCAACCTCCTCTGGTCAGTGCGGTATTTTGGGACTGGTTCTTTGCACACCCCTAAGTGGTGAGAATTGGGGAGAAAGTAGCTGGGAGACTGGGCAGCAAAAGAAAATATAAAATGCCAGAGTAACATGATTGTTAAAACAACAAAGAAACGGAAAGAAAGACAACATAAAAAGAACAGGGAACAGTTAAAACTTTCAGAATTGCTTTTCTCGCCGAGTACACGGTTATATCGTTCATGCAGCTTTTTCGAACCAGCCATGCACCAAAATAAGCAAAAACTGAAAGCTGCAAAAGCTGCAGCAAAGAGCCAAAGACCTCTGGGTGTGAGTTATGAAACTACTTCATGTAGCCAAAAGAAAAAAACGTTATCCAGCAGCTGCTGTCGAGTTTTTGCTCGGTGCCATTGCAATAGCAAGTCTGGTTCAGAAGCACAGATCAGAGCAGCAGCTTTACCTCAAGCCCACCAACCTGTCTCTCAGAAGATAGGACAGTGACTTTCTTGACCTGGACACACAAAGCGTGTTAAGGTTCAGTTGTCTCGTAATAAAACATTCAGGAACAGCAGAAAAGCAGCCCCTGGTAAAAAACCCTTTGGCCACCAGGGCAGGGTGAAGGCACCACTTTGCACGGTGAATTATCACCCTTAAATTACCATTGTGATTTGTCAACCTTAAATTACCATCATGATTTGCCATCCTTCAACACGTGCAGGTGAAGGAAAACACCCTCCCTGGTCAGTGTCTGGTGAAGATGCATTTCTGGAAGTTCCCAGAATGTGTCCACCTCCACCTCAGAGCAAGATCATTCTGGAGAGGGTCAGACTAAGAGGGACCTTCCAGAAATGCAAATCCAGGGACACTAAAGACCCACTGTGGCTTTAGATGGGACAAGCTCACACCATCCAGCACCTCACAATATGGTCACCTTGTCAGAAATTCTCCATAATAACCAAGAATATAATTCTTGAACTGCAGTTGTGGGCCTTGAGAGCCCCTGCTCTGTCCCACCCACACCCCAAAAACCACATGGCACCGTGGGCAGAGCTCTGCTGCCCAAATTCCTGTGGATTTAAACTGAGCAAAGTCTATCCATGTGCTAAACAGGGTAATCCCAAGGACAGTTTGCCCAGAGAAGCTGTGGCTGCCCCATCCCTGGAAGTGTCCAAGGCCAGGTTGGATGGGGCTTGGAGCAACCTGGGCTAGTGGAAGGTGTCCCACAGCAGGGCATGGAATGAGATGGGCTTTAAGGTCCCTTCCAACCCAAACCACTTTGTGATTCTACAGCAACCAACCCCAACTAAGTTCAATTTGGGGATTTCATCTTTCCTAAGCTGTCCTGGGTTTTCTCTACACTTTGAGGAGCTTGCAGTAAACTTGGTGTTAAACCTCTTGTAGGTGTTACAGTGCTCCATCCACTGCAAGACTATTTACTGACTAATAAGTGTTTCCCTTGCACTGCTTTGAAGATTAAATACAAGTTTATCTGCAGGGCTGTGGGCAGGAAGGAGAGAAGCTGGGCTTAAACCAGGAGAGAGTCTCCAACTGCCACCACTGCAGCCAGGATGCAATTTTTCTGTTGTAATAAAAAATTGCATTTACTACTGAGTGAGAGAGTAATCAGAGACTGATTACCACAGGTGCTAACTACAGTTTTACTCACAAGCTCCAAACCTGAGTTAGGCACCACCAATATGACACAGAGGTGTCTCTGAGCCAAGAAGAAACCAGTTGGTGACAGAGCTCTGCTGTTCCAACTGGGTTTCTTTGAAAAATTACCTTTTTTAAGGAAATTAGCAGAGAAACTGGGTGTATGTGGCTACTAAAACACAGGCCCTGTTCCTGGAAGGAGGAAGGTTCCCATCATGTATGAACAGCCCTGCTGAGGAGTCTTCCTGAAGCCTCCACAGCAGATCAGCACCTGGAGTTCCTAATGCAAGTCTAAACCCCAAGAAGAAACTGGAGAATAAAGTGATTTCGGAAAAATTATCCCATCCTAGTGCTTCTGCACTGGGTTGCAATATCATCACTGAAGTAATAATTCTCTTAATTTAAGAGTTTAGGTGGGTTTTGTCCAACATTTTGGGGAGATGGGAAGTGCTCTCTAACATCACAGTGACAGCAACACCAGGAAAAGCAGCCCCCAAAGCAGGTGAGGAATCCCTACGTCCTTCCCTACCGAAACAAAACCCGCATTTTTATGACGCCTCCGACTTCAACTCTCTCAGGGACCATCCCACATGCTAAAAGGCCACCCCTTGGAACACCACCATGCCCAGAGGTACTCACTCCATCTGCTCCCGTGGGGATCTGCCCGTTGACGTTGAGGGTCCGGAAAGGGGAGTGGGTGGACAGACGTTTGTCCCACTCGCTCGGCCGCGGCTCCGGGACGGACTCCATGAAGTTCTTCTTCAGCTCGCTGATGTTGGCATGGTGCTTCTTGATTTCCTCCTGGGGCTTATCTAGATCCTACCAGCAAAAGGGACAGGATGAGTGAAGGGGTGTGGGGAGGAGCTGGGACTGCCTAGGCTGGGCTTAGCAAAGCTGCGCTCAGCGGGGCCGTGGCCGAACCTCCCGAGTGCTGCTCACACTGCAAACACACCAAGGGAGCGTCCTCTCTCCTCTCTCCTCTGGGATTAATCACAGTCTCCTCCAGGAGAATCTCCACCAGGTCACCTGGAATCTCATGGATTTTCCCCATATGAGATATTTTTTTTTAGAGTTGCCAGACTGTGCTTGTTTGGGTTATTTTTTAAATCGGGTAGGTTTGCTTTCTTTTCCCTCTGCAAGCCTGAATATTCCCAGGTATCAATACAATTAATGTTCAATAACATGTTTTCCTTATTTTTTTTTTTTGCTCTCTTCATACCTATTTCTCTTTAATCCTAACAGGAATTGTCTCTGCTCCCAGAATATCTCCATTACCATCATTTCCCCTCCTCCTCATCTCATCCCTCCAGGAGCTACCATAGGAGGTTTTAGACTTCTGAAATGAAGATGAGATGATTTTTTTTTTTTAATCAAACTGAGAATTTCCTTTATGCCGGATCAGTCAAAAAACTCCTGATGATTTTTTTTTTTTCCCATCTGGAAAAAGCCAGATTTCTACTCTGTGATGCCAGTTTACAGCATAAACACACAGACTTCAAGGCAAGTCAACTTGTTAAAAGTAGTTTTTTCTTTGCAAGCAAATCAGAGTTTGTAGAAAACAAAGCTTCTGCATAAAATAGGTGTAAGCCAAACAACAACTTTTCTGGACAGGGCCAAAAAGCAGCAAGAAAGGGAGAAATCAAGGTCAGTAAAAGCATCACTGGGAAATTTAACTATTTTTGTGCTTTCAGTTGTTACTCAGCCCATTAATTTTAGAAGATGGAAGAGCAAACATATCCCTAAAGGAGGGGCCCTCCCAAAAATCTGCAGCTCACCCAGGACACAGCTAAACCCCAAATGCCTCTTTAACAACATTTACTCTTTTTGGCACAGTTCTAGGGGGAAAAAACGCAAGTTTTGGCATCAATTCTGGATGAAAGTATAAGTCAAGTGCCTGCTGGGTAGGGAAAAAAAGCAGAAATAAGTCTGCTGAAGACTCCAGGGTAAATCCCTGCCTGGGTCCAGGAACCCTACAGCTGCTCCTGGCTCAGAGAAGAGAGAAGGACCACCTTGGCTTTTCCAGCACTGTGCAGGAGCAGGGCCTGGGAGGGCTGGAGAGGAGCTAAAGCCACGAGGAGCTAACGTGGAGCCAGGTCTGGAAAGCACCTTGAGGAACCAGCTCACTCAGCGTCACCTCCTTTTCCTCCTGTTTTTCCCTTTCTGTAAGAACCTGGTGTAGGTGGAGAGTTAAAAGGCTTTCAGCAAAATCAACAGGCAGCTTCAGGAGGGTGAGGTCTGCTGGGAAAATATCTGATCTGCCAAATGCATGGGCTAAAAAACACAAAGGGAATGAAGGGGGTGAGCTGCTGGGTGAGCCCTGTTCTAGGGGAGGGCTGGAGCACCTGCAACAGAACCAGGGAGGGAAAGGGCTGGGTGGCAGAGGCAGGTGTTGCAGTAACAGGAAAAAGGGGTTTGGAAGGGAAGACAAAGCTCTGTTTGGGGTTGGGGAGATGGAGCTGTTTTGAGTTGGGTGGAAGAAGGCGACAGGCAGAGTCTTCAGAGCTCCAGCAGCGGCCCGATGTGTTCACACCCTTCACTCGTGGCTCAAAGCTCTACATTGTAGCAGGTTTTTTAAAAAAAAATAAAAATATAAAACCAAACCAAACCAAAACAAAAACCACCCAAAAGCTGCAAAACTTTGAAAATTCCGATTAGGAGAAGGTAGTTGGTTCACTCCACTTTTTTCAAGAGATGGCAACAGGGAAACCCTACGAGCTGCTGGGGCTGCAAGTCTGAGTAGAAACACGTAACACAGAGTATCAGAAGCCACAAAACATCTCCCATAACACAGTGTATTAAAGAATTAAAATATATGATTGGCGTGGTCTGTTCTGAGACCGTGCTTGGGTGAAAGCAAAGGAAAGGGCTCCCAAATTCAAAGGGAAGAGCTGGAACCTGGAGGGATGAGCCACCCATGACCACTGAGCCCCCCATGTCAGATCTGTGGGGAGCTGGCACCGAGCAGGATGGGACCTGGGGGGTGCTGAGGTGCTGCAAGGCAAGGAAGGGCTGAAGGAGGATGGAAACATCCCTGCAGCATCCAAAGGGATCCCTCCTGCCTGAAGCGACATGGACATTGTGGTGGCCTGAACGCCCAGGGGTGACAATTTCATTGAATCCCAGAATGGTTGGGGTTGGGAAGGACCTTAAAACTCATCCAGTTCCACCCCCTGCCAAGGGCAGGGACACCTCCCACTAGCCCAGGTTGCTCCAAGCCCCATCCAACCTGGTCTTGGACACTTCCAGGGATGGGGCAGCCACAGCTTCTCTGGGCAACCTGTTCCAATTTCCCCTGCAGTTTATCCTGAATTTTGTATTTTCATAGACTGGCTTTTCCCCCAGGAAAGTAATTTGTTTCAGGCAATGAAAAACTAGTCCCCACTACAATCTATGCCCCTGTGAGCACCCAGTGGGTCCCAGAGCAGATCTGAGCTCTGCCAATCATGTATTTTGGGTAGGTATGAGAGAATGAAAGTCAGAAGAGGTAGAAGGAAGAATGGCTGCACATCATCATTTTACTGTCACCATGCAAAAGCATAATTAAAAAATCAAATCAAATCAAAAGGTCTCTCATGCAAGAGCATGCAAAATAAAGGCAGCAGCAGAAGAGGAAGAAGTTCAGCGCAGATGCAGAAGGTTTAGGCAAATGCAACTCAAAAAAAGCTTCAAGTTCATACAAACCTCCAACATTAAATTGCTATGCCTGATATAAATGTTTTCACCATCTAGCCTCTTTGATCTCTTCTGTGAAAATGAAAGGAAAGGGGGAAACAAAACAAAACAAACAAACAAAAAAAAAAAAAAGCACAAAAAATTAAAACGTTGGTCTTGCGGGATCGAGAAACTGGCAAATTAAAAAAGTTAACTCAAGGTGGGGAGTGCAGCGCTGAGGCAGCGTGGGGTGGGAATTCCCACCAGGAATGGGGGGTCTGGCTCATGGAGAATGGGAGATGTGATGAGTCCTTTAAAGAGACAGCTCCCGGGGGCCTCAGCTCCGGCCACAAAGAGACAGTTACTGGTTTTCCATGGAAGCCTTGCACAGGTCACCACGTGACACCCCTGAGGGATGCAGGCCCACCCCAGTGTGAGGCTGTACTACCTGGAGTAACCTTTACAAGGTCCCAGTGTGCACAGTAACTATGCCTGAACCACCTTTCCCATCTTGGATGTGTCCCTGTTACTTAATCAATACCAAAAAAAAAAAACCATCCTCTTCATTTTATTTTTTTTTTTGCATTTCCTGCAATGCAAACTGCACAGTTTTCTCTGGTTTCTAAGTAAATTTGTTACAGAGAAGATAAATTTCATAAGTCAAGCCAACTGTGTTTCTTTTGAACATTCAACAAGCATAATTTTAGCAATCAGGCTGTGCCTATGGGACAAAAAAAAACTACTTATTTTCCAATCAAGTATTTGGTAGTCAAAAGAAAACCAACATCCCAACCCAAAGCACAGGAAGAAATTGGAGCACTGTCTTTTTAAACATGTTACAGATGCATGAATGATATGGCAAATTTGGCTGGTGAAAGGGTAAAATGGCTAACCTTCCTCATTCTTATCAGCTCTTCCTCTTTTTCTGCAGGCTGCTGCTGTTGGGCAGTGATAAAAAAAAAAAAAGAGTTGGTTCATTTAACTATGTTGAACCTTAAAAAAAAAGAACAAAACAACTGTGAGCAACCTAAACTGAATTATTAGCACAAACCTGGGGCTGGGCACCATTCGTGGTGGGGACTGTGACCTCAATGTGTGTTTTCCTCACCTACATTTAAGAAATAAATCGGTAAAAACATTTCTTGTTAGTAGATCTGTTTCAAGAAACTGTTCAGTTTCCAAACACGGCTGCATAAAGTTGGTTTTGAGGTGCTGGGGGAACATGCAAAAACCAACATGCAGCCCTGGGTTAATGGCACGGCAGCTCTGTTAGTCAACAGCAGGTGAAATAATTCCTTCAGCTTGAGAATTATTTATATTTGAAACCAGTGCTCTCCAGTGCTCCTGAAGAAGGGCTTCCCACTTGCATTAGCTCGGCCAGGCAATGTTTTCAAATGTCATTTGCAGCTGGATCTCCCAGAGAAATCCCAACAAAGCAACATGCTCCAATTAACACAGACCTTCTCAAAAACAGAAATTATTGGTTATATGCACAGGTATTATGTTGGCAGAGGCAGTAAGAGCAGGCTTAGCTACAAAACCAAGCCTAACATCACTAATTAAGCTCTTTCCTGTCCATAAGTAGAGAGCCAAGATTGTCTTAACACTCTCAAGGAAGTATTTTAGGGAAACTGGGTTGCCAAGTACTCTGAAGGCAAAAGCATCAGTAGGTGTTAAAAGAAGTGATGCAACTGCATTGGAGAAACAGGGTAAATTTGGCACGTTCAAATCCACAATTTCCTCCCACATCTATATTTAAAGGGGGAAAAAAAAAATCCAGTGTTTAAGCACTTAAGAAAAAACCTGCAATAAGTGAGATGGGATGAGTAAAATTTCCTTGTTCTCAGTGTAACACAAGGGAGGAGGAGCAGCCAGGCAGGAACTCTGTGCTCCAGTTCCAACTCCACAGTGCCAGCCTGAGGATCCCTTCAGCACTTTCATTTAAAAATTACCACTCACAGAGGCTGTGGAATTTTTTGAAGCAACTGTCCTTTCCTTTACCTCCATCTCCCAACCTTAATTAAGAGGGATTTCCCCTGGAGATGTCACATAAGACCCACTGTGTGATATGTTATAGGAAATGTGGCTCCAGCAATGTTGAGATCAGCTAAATTTTGGGGTAATGTGAAAATTGTGTCTCAAGGCAAACACTTCTGCTGCACCACTGCAAGGCTTCAGTTCAACAAGATCTGCAGAATATTAAGGACACTGTAATATCAACATTAATTTTGCACATTATCCTGACTTATTAGAACAACACACACATATCAACCCCGGCAAAGGCCTCAGACATTTGTAGAAAGATCAAATAATGCTTAAAAAAATGGCATTTAAACAATAAACCCCCCAAGGTCTCACCAGTGCCATCGTCAACTAAAGTTTTAGTCCAGTTTGCAGCACTGTGTTACCACCAGTGTTACCAGCTCTCCCAGCCAAAGCCTATCAATGTGAAAAACATTCCGGCGCTGGGCTGCAGCCAGATCCATATCACTGATTTCACTGGAATTGCCTCCTGCTGTCGTACCAGGAATCAAGGGGCACAGCCTGGCCATGGGTGAGCCCTAAACTCCAACCCCACGAGCACGTGCAGCTCCTGGCAGCGTTTTTAACCGTCTTAAGGTTGCACTCAGTTTGTTTGCAGCCACCAAAACTTGGAGTGACTCCTCCTCTTCCACAAGGAATGTCAGGGCTGGGATTTCCCTGGCAGCCAGACCCCCACCTGATGCCTGGGAGAGGGATAAACCCCTCATCTCCCAGGAGGGGAAGGTGGACAGAGCTGCTGCTTTGGGGTGGCTTCTGGAGTGACACTCCAGCTCTTCCAAAGAGACTCCGGTCTGACCTACCTTGGATGCATCAGCTGGCTCTGCCTTGGCTTTCTCAGGTGGGAATTCCTCACGTCTCACATCAGCTTTTGCTGTTTCCTTCCCCATTTTAGATGTGGCCACGTCCTTCACGTCAGGCTTAGCTGGGGCTGGCTCTGCAGGGTGGCTCTGAGCGATGGCCGGGGCCGAGGTGGGCCGGGGACTCCGCTCCGGGGTTATCACAGCCACTGCTGAGGAGGGGGGACACACAGGGACAAGGTTCAGAGCAGGTAACGTTCCAAAGCTCTAGGCAAAGTCTTTCCAAATTACAGTGCTGTCATTTAAAAAGAAAGGGAGGAGGAGGAGGTAAAAAAAAGGGAAACGAAATAAAGATGTTGAGCGAAGCAGCTTGTGCATTTAGTACGGGAGAGTTGGGATTATTTTCCTTATGGTTTAAATAAAATCAAATAAAGCCCCACACCAGATGGTTTACAAAAAGCAAGCTTGCACTCTGCAGAGAAGCCACACCAGAAAGGCAAATCTGGAATTTGACATCGTGCCACGGGTTTCTGGGTCCTTCACACACAACTGACACGGACTCCACTCCAGTGCCACCACAAAACAGACACAGAGTGGGGAGTTCTGGGCTTGTGGGCACCTCCTCAACCAGAAACAGATGGTTTCTGGAAGGGAAACACAGGCTTTTCCCCCCCTCCCCAGTCTTGTAGGCAACTCAAATGAAAAAATAATCAACAAGCATCGCTCTAGAAAACTTCACAGCAACTTCCAGGTGGGATTCAAAGCAGGCTGGGCTGTGTGTCCCGTGGGGTATCTCCAAGGCAGCACAGTGGGAAGATACCCAGCACCTCCAGGTCAGTGACAGTGCAGGAATGAACAGCATGCTGCCAAAAAATCACCTTTCCAGAGGATGACAGTCTTAAACACAAGCACTAGCCCCACATAAAATCAACTGCCTATTCCTTTCCTTCAATTCCTGATTTCCCAGACAGTTCCTGATCTCTGAAAGGCCCGACTCCAACGAAATATTCAAGTCAATACTGTGTGACAAAGCCAGCCCCAATTAATTCCCTGTGTGTACCTATAGATACAATAAGCTATTTGGTTCTCCTGATGTTGTTTTTATGGATGTTCCACTAGAAATACACCCAAAATAGTATCTTCGACGTGGTCCCACATTCCCAAAGTCACAGTTTGCAGCAGGATCACACTGTGCAACCCATCCCATCCAACACTGGTGTCCAGCCAAAGACACTAGAAAATTTGCTGTTAAAAAAGAAATTGTGATTTCAAGCAACTCCTCAGTAAGAATTCCTGTTTCACTGAAAAGGTCACTGCATCTCATCTGTCTGTAAATAAAACATGAGAGAATAAAGCATCCACATGACCAAAAAATGTATGAGATGGGGGGGAGGGGGGGGCAAAAAAGAACCTGATTTTCCAGAGACTTCAATTACACCTTCAAGACAAACACCTGGACCCACCCCAAACCCCACACCACCACCACGGGCTCCATCCTCTCCCCGCTCCTCAGCACAGCAGCTCACTTCTGTGACCCAGACACTGTGTCATCCTTTCAGGAGGACAATCAGTGCCATGTCCTGGTGTATTTCTGCCATGGAAGCGGTGACAGCCGCTGGGAAGGTTGTACAGAGGTGGGATGGCAGGGGCAGTCGGGATGAGGAGGATGCTGGGAGAGCAAAGCCGTCATCGCGGTGGTACCTGGCTCCTTCGGGACTGGCTCTAGTTCTCTCACCACCATCATTTTTTCTTCCTCCTCCTCCTCCTCCTCCTCCTCCTCCTCTTCAATTGGGCTTATCTCAATACTGCCAAGATCACGTTTGGCTAAAAAAGTTATGGATGTGTTAAAATGCCACCTCAAAGATGAAGCAGCAAAGGAAATACTGCCACCAGTAAATCCACACAGCCACCTCTCCTGCTCCTCTCCCAGGGCATGAAGACATGCAGGAAAAATGATAACAGACACCAAGCTTTTCCTTTGCCATCCAACAGTGAGTTCTGGGCTGCCCAGAACTGTATTTTAGTTAATTTTCCTGATTAACTACTTCAGGGTATTTTGACACATGATTTAAACACAGTAAAAAAGCACTGCCCCAAAATAAAAGATATAAAATGTAGGTTGGAACTGGATGATCTTTAAGGTCCCTTCCAACACAAACCATTCCATGATTCTATGATCGACCACCATCACCCCACTAACAGTCCCTGCTGGGAACTGGAGAGTCAGGAGGAAGAAAAGTGCAGGAGATGGATAAGAAGGGGCAGCTGCACCAGGAGAGCCCAGGCTGTGCTCAGGTCTGACACCGGCTGATGTCCACTCTGCTGCCACCCATCCCACGGAATATCCTCCAGTGTTTTCCATCCTAACCAAGAAAACATGAAGTTCTCAGTTACCTCCCTCCACAGTTTCAGTCTCCTCTTTCTGCAACAACTAATCAACCCTATTTTAATCATGATTAGCGTGGATCTGACTGCAGCAGCGACGTTGCTCTGACACCCTTTTCCAACTAGGGAAGCAGCACTCCCTAGTGAAGAAATAAAGTGGAATGTAGGTGACCTCCAGCAGTCCTGGATCTCATAACCTGATTTTCAGGCACTGCACATTCCCACAGCTCAGGGGAGCAAACCTTCCAGGAAGGAACAGCAAGGGAGGAGGGTTAAGAGGCCACTGCACACTCACTTCCACACACAGCCAAGCCACGGCACCCGCTCACCTCACCCAGGGCACTCCTGGAAAGCAGCACACGGCAAAGCCAGGGGGGATTTTAGTGGCAACAAACACCACCACAAGCAGTGCAACCTGTGTCCTACAGCACTGCACCACTTCACCCCCACAGTGACAGCACAGCAGCCACCAAACGCCGCTGTGGCTGTACCTGACCGCGGCGGCACCGGCTCCGGGAACTTTGGCTTGGCAACAGGAACCTTAACCACCTCTACCTTCTCCTCCTCCTCTTCCTCCTCTGCAATGGGTTTCATTTCAAAAGTTTCAAGAGTGTGTTTGGCTAGAAAGAGGTTTGCAGGTGTTAACGGGGGTTGGGGACCCGCACGGACACACGACGGTCACCGCAGCAAAGAGCGAGGAGATCCCTCTCAGCAGCTGGGAACAGCAAAGAGGTTTGCAAACCAGGCAGCTCAACAGTCATTTTCCACCATGGAATTGTGCACCAGCCTTTCTAGTGCTGCCATACCCAACAGAGCATTGGATAAGAGGGGAAAAGAACAACAGAAATAAGCTTTGCAGGCTCCTTGCCCAGGCAGGGAGACGTGGGGACACGTGTGGAACTAGGATGGGCTCTGCCTGCAGAGTCTGGAGGGATAGGGGTGCTGGCTGGCAAAATCCAGGCAAAACACATCCAGATAAAAACCTATATAAAAAACTAGCAGCTTTAATTAAATGTATTTGAACGATTCACTCAGTGCCTGAAATTCCTCACCCTGTTTTTACAGCATCGGGCTTTCCCCACCAGGCAATGCTGACTAGGGAAGATCAAGGCATGACCACAGTGGGGGGAAGGCTGACACACTTCATGAAAGCTGGACCTAGATGCTACAAAAATAGTGATGCAGTCAAAAGCACACTGCAAAAAAATTCCAGGTGGAAGGAGGGAAGCAGAGCAGCACCCACAGCATTTGCATACGAATTATTTCCAGCCCTCACACACCACAGGCGGTCGCCATCCAAGTGATGAAGGCTGCAAATATTTGACAACACTGTGCTGTGAAACACTTATTAGTATTCAAATGTGCTGTTGTACCTACACCCCCTCTTAAGGACATTAATATTTATTAATATTTATTAATAGTACCTCTCTCAAGAGAAATATAAGCTCCACAGACTAAATGGGATGGCATTTCTCAGATGCTGAAAAAAGATCCCAGAATAGACTTTAAAAAAAAAAAAAGGTCCCAGAACTCTTAAAAAATGGCAAGAAGATCCCACGATGAAGAATTTCAGAAGCTTCACAAGAAGTTTCAAGATCAAATTTTAAAGTTTGCTAATTCACATACACAAAACTACCCAAATCTAATGAGAGTTCTTAAGTACCATCACATCCTAAACTTTCCCCCCACCTCCCCACAAGAATTACAAGGTGCAAGGTGGAAATTTAAGGAGTCTCCCAGAGCTGGGCTGTGTCTCCTCTCACTGCAGAATTCTTCTTGCAAAGGAATGAAAAAAGAAAGCCGTCAGATTTGGTGAAACTTGGAATTGTCAGGAACAAGCACGGAGAGGACAGGAAAGGCACTGCAGAGAGTTGTAGCCACCACCACAGCTATACCTGGCTTCTCTCGGATCTGATCCGCAGGTTTTGGTTCAGGAACCTCAACCACCACCACCTCCTTCTGCTTCTCTTCCTCTAGGGTCCTGAACTCAACTCTCTGAGTCGCACGTTTAGCTGAGGAAACGGGGCACACGTTAAGGACCCGCACAGGTGGCACTGCAACCGCCACAGGGGTCCCACATCCCCGGCCTGCTCCTCTCCACGCTCTCACATCCAGCTGTGGGACTGCAGTTGGGATTTCTCTACCCATCTGGGGTCATAATGGCAGGGCCAAGTGGCATCCAACAGCCCTGGTCTCCTTGCCCCCCCCCCGTGCGTCGTGCCTGAGGAATCTCGCACGCCCGGATTGCTGGCAAGCTGGAATTTGGTTTTGCTGCTGAACAGAGCTCAGACCAAGCAGCCTTTCCCCTCTGGATTCGAGGTACAAAGCCCAGGCTTGGAGTGTCACTGAGCACAGGAGCAGGGACAGCCTGGCTGCTGCTGGTCATGGGGCGCTGGGACAACCCTGGTGCCTCCCGGGCTGCAGCACAACCTCGGGGCTCAAAGCAATGCAGTCCCTGCTCCATCAGGGATGCTCCCCCCTTTCCCTGGATCCTCTCAGAGCACAGGGATGCTCCTCTTTCCCTGAATCTTCATGGTGCACAGGGATGCTCCCTCTCCCTGGATGCTCATAGTTCACAAGGATGCTCCACTTTCCCTAGACTCTCTCAGTGCACAGAGATGCTCCCCCTTTCCTAAATTCTCTTGCTGCACAGGGATGTTCCTCTTTCCCTGGATCCTCTCAGAGCACAGGGATGCTCCCCTTTCCCTGGATCCTCATGGTGCAAAGAGATGTTTCCCTTTCCCTGTTACTCGTGGTGCAAAGTGATGCTCCCCTTTCTCAGAATCTTAGTATCCAGTGATCCAGATCCAGTGGAGTAAACTTAAGCACTCTCCTCTCCATGTCTCACCTCCTCTAGCCTGGAGCTACCCATCTCCTTTAAAAACCTGAGATAAGCCCACCTGACTGACATCCCAACCTAAGCATCACTTTAAGGAACACCGGAAAAGTTTCAGTTGTGGCAAAAAATCTCCCCCTCAAGGAGAACTAAGGAATTTAAGAAGTTATGTTAAACAAAACAAATAGCTTAATTCCTGATTTTCTAAAGGAAAATGCTTTGACACTGAATTAGGAAATATCTCTACAGCCATGAGCCTTCAGCACCCACCTACACCCTTTTTGTCAGTGAGTTCTGCTGCGACTACTCTCAGTTTGCATTTTTGTTTTGGGCCTGGCTGAGTTGGAGCTCATTTTCCCACAGCAGCCCTCTCAGTGCTGTGATTTTAAGATAAAGATACTACCTGGGAGAGGTAACAGACAAATAAGTCCTGAACAATGTCGGAGAGCGGAATGATCACAGGGGAAATTCCTGTCGTGACTGTGGTGAAGGGACAAAGGGTGGATTTTGTGCAAATTACCTGTGTTGTGATGACGTTATTTTGATCTTTGCAGGGGGAATTTTTGTGTCAGTTGGTTGATGGTTTTTTTTTTGATGTGAGCAAAGGTCGTGTGACGAGGGCGGGTTCGAACGATAACCCCTGAACACACAATAACCCTTGAACACAAAACTCATGGAGGCGAGGGGGTTTTTTGTACAGCAGGGGATTGAGCTGTTATTTCAGCATCCTGAGCAGGGGGAGGAGGTGTGCACTCACCTCCATCCAGGCTCCTGGAGGCTCGTTTGCTGGCCGTGCGCTCGAACTGGGGCGCGGGCCGGTCGATCAGGGCGCTCGCCTGCCGCGTCTGCGCCTGCGTCCGCCCGCTGTAGCGGAACTTGGAGCCCAGCGCCAGGAACCTGCTCTTCGGGATGGCCTCGGTGGAAGTCAGCCTGAAAAACACAGCCACGATTTAAAAACCGCGAGCGAGCGGCAAACCCGGCAAATCTCGGCGCGGTCGAGGAGAGTAAAGGAATAAATCCGAAAATCCGCGTCATCGACCTCAAACGACTTCGTGATGTTGGGCTGATTTTCCCCCCACATGAAGGATTCTCGTTCTTTTTGCATATCATCTTGGAAGAAATACGTATGGTTTCTGTGGGCTGTGCTGCACTGGAGTTTCCCAACAAATTGGGAAATCCCAACTTGGCGTTTCCCAACAAATCTCCTCAGTTTCTAACACCAAACGCTTTGAAATGAGTGCTCCTTCATGGCTGTGGCATTTCCATCGGGAAAGCTCCCCGGATCCAGAGAGCTCAGTGTGCTTCAGAGCAGAAACACCTTCTGAAGAATCCAAGAGATCACTTTGAGTTGGGCTGAGCTCAAATCCCACCAAACCTGAGCTGTTCTGGTTTAAGTGCCACTCACCGGACTTTATTTTCTAAGGAGTTTCATTTTCTATGGATGTATTGGGAAGGGAGAGTGTAGGGGAGGAGGTAAAGAGAAATTAAATAGAAATTAAAGAAGTCTCTTGCCAATAAGCCTCACATCTACATCAGTGAAAGTTCTCTGTCTTATGTACCTTATGAAGCAGAACCTGCTTAAAAATTTACTGCAAAACAAACACTTAGTGTCCCTGCAACCATTTCACTCCAGTTGTTCCAAACCCTAAGGAACACTGAAGGAACTAAGGAACACTGCTCACTTTCAGCAGTTACACTAAAGCATTAGTTACTCAAAGTTCAGGAAACCCACCTGAAGAAGGTGTGATGTTCGACACAGACCTTCCACAGCTTCTTCGCTGCCCGGTAGCTTGGAAGCTTGAACCCAATTGTACTTTCATACTGTTCTTGCTGTGGGAAATATAACTTATTTAGGTATAGCAAGGAATACACGAGGCAGGAGCTCAGTCCCCAGCCCATTGCTCTGTCCTGCTGCGGCACAAACTGCTGAACTCACTCCAGGATGAGCAGGAGGAGCTCAGATCAAAAATAGGGCTTGGCCACAAGCCTGGGCATCTCTCAGGATGCACTGGGATTTACAGAGGAACATGCTGTGGATTTTGCAGCCAGTCAGCTTTATTTACACCCCCATCATACTGCCCAGCTGCAGGATAGGGTCAAACATTGACCTCCCTGCAAGGCTGGGTCAAAGCAGTGGAAGCAGGAGGAGGAGGAAGAGAAGGGAAGAGGCAGATCCCCATTGTAGCCTCTCTCCCTGATGTGGCCAGGCTGCTCCAGGGATCTCCCCACTGATGAAGCAGCACCAGTGCATCCATCCCCTGCCTCCTGCCCTTAGGTGAAAAGCTAATTCGAATTTTTTATTACTTTCTTTTAATAAAAGCAAGACAAAGAGCCTTTGTTTTGCCTTGTGTCCAAAACAAAAAGGATTTAGTCCTCTCCCAGTTTCAGCTGACAACTTCCCACCCGTTTCCCTGGATGCTGGGAATACCCTGCAGTGCCAGGAGGTGGTGCTGGATGACACGCTGTTAAACCCTCACCAGCCAGGCTGTAGCTCCGGCTCAACCCCAAGCCGGGATCAGACACCCCGACAGGAAATGCTCATCCAGGGAAAAGGTTGTTCCCTCCCCGCTCCCTTTCAGTGACACACACACACGGTGACAGTCACAAGGCAGTGAAAGGTGACACTCAGGAGCCAGGACACACCTCCCCCGGCCGAATCTTTATGAAGAAGCTGCTGCGTTTGTAGGAAATCTTCAGGACTTTGGGCCACGGGAAGCGGTTGATTCTCAGTTTGTCTTTGTAAACAAGAAGGCCACTGGAACAGACTCCCAGAGTGATGTCCACTCCTTCCAAGTCCTGGGAAACCAGGATTTAAGCAGCGTCAGGGTTACAAGTTTCAGGTCAACATCTGCCTTCCAAATCACCCCTTTGGTCTTCACCCAAATTCATCTCCCCACACCCCCCAGACTCCAGCTCCCAGCTCCAGGGCCAGGTCAGCTTTTCCTTCACATTTCTCCTCACAACCTCCTCTTTCCTGCACTGCTGGTTGCCCAAAGGGCTTATCCAGAGTCCTTCCTGCATCTCCCCACGTGGCAGGTCAGAGCCATAAATTAAGAGTTCCTCAGAGCAAGGACTCGTCTACACCAGGAGCTTTGGAAAGCTTCCTGGGATATATAAATAATAAGCAACCAAGAAGAATCACTTCTCCTGAAGGAATGCTTGAGTCATTCCTGCTCTGTGTCTGTATTTCCATACTTCCTCTACCTTTCAAAAGGAGCTTCCTGAAACAGGTAAACTTGTTCCTGCAAGGGAAGGATAACCAAATGACAAAACCCACAGGCAGGTGCTGGTTCTCACCTTGGCTTGGTGAAGGTCGACTCCATACATAGACAGCTTTTTTGCATTCTCAAGAAATTCCAGGTCTGCTTGGGCTGGAGTCATGGACCTGGGGAAAGAGAGAAAGGGCTTGGTATTCCTCAAACTGTTGCTTTTAAGAGAGGACAAATCAGACTTCATGAAACTCATTAGATTTTGTTTTGCTTTCAGTACAACCAGATTTGTGCTCGGGTGATGAATTATTAAATCGCTCCGAATGCCCACATTTGTGCTCTCAGACATTCCCAGAACACAGATGCACTTTATTCCTGTGGAGCTGCACGGGCACTAGAGAAGAAAGCAAGGAACAGCAGCGAGGGGGCAAAACTTGATTCAGCAGAAGAAACCCCAACTGAGCCGCAGGCAAAGGGTGACAGGTCCTGTCCCCCCAGATCTGCTGCCTCCAGACCTCCCCAAACCCAGCTATTGTTCTCCAAGCCAAACACATGGACAGCTGAGACCACTCAGCAGAGATTCCAACCGGGGGACCAGATGAATGAAGGGTTTTCTGGGAACAGATGGTGCCCTGTCTGCTGGAGGGGCACAACTTAACAGAGACATCCTGATAATGGAGGCCATTATCAACGGTATTGAAGTGCCCTTGTTAATAAGTTTCTGGTGTGTGAGGTACATTAACAGCTCTGTTGGGAGAGAATTCAGCTGCATACATTTCATTTTCTTCCCTCCTTTGATGTCTTCCTCACTGAGCCCTCCCATACATCTTGTGTGTGATGTAAATAGAGGTTGTGGTGGTGGGAGACAGGGTAGACAAAGACAACTGTAAGGACAATCCTGTAAGAAAGACCCAGGAGCTGTCACTATGTCAACATGTGCAAATACAGTAGCAAGAGCTGGAGAGTGGTTTAGCAGAGATTTCCCTGGAAGTGTTCAAAAAGCATGTGGGTGTGGCACCTGGGAAGTGGTTTAGTTGCAGGCTTGGCTGTGCTGGGGGAATGGTTGGACTCGATGGTCTTCGAGGTCTTTTGCAGCCTTAATGATTCCATGACTCTGATTCCCACTGAAAACCCTCTGACAGTTTAATGTTCACAGAACACAGACCAGAAATTAAACTGGGACGTTTTGCTTCCTCCTGCACACGCAGACAGATGAAATATAACTACATCTTATACCTTGAAGTCTCCTTCTAATGAAGCCATGAATAATTCATCACCCTGATCCGACACTTCCAGCACAGCAACGGCCTTTGACTCCCAGTCATGAAGCTTGTCAGTGGCCTGGTACTTATTTTCCCTCATTTCCTCTCCTCTCAGTGCAAATGGAGGGGAATCAATTTAAAGTATTGATTTGGAGGGTTGAGTGAGGTGTTAATTGTAGCTCTGGCCACAGCCAGGAGCCCATGTCCACCCTTCCCACTGCACTCCAGTTATTAGTTCCCCTCTGCCTCTGAGAAGGTCTTGTCTTTGCTCTGTTCTCGTCAGGGCATCAACCAGCAGCTTTTCACAGGGCAAGGGGCTGCTGGTTGAAAGTACCACCAAGTGGTGTTAAGGATTTGGGGGGTTTTCCCCTCTAAAATCCCAATGTACCCCTGTGAGGACACAGAAGCTGCTGCCCCTCCCCACAGCTCCTGCAGCCAAACCCTCGAGAGCATCCAGGAAAACGAGCTCAAAAATAAGATGAATAACAGGTTTGGTTACTGTCAGTGTGGTATCAGGGGGACTCCCAGTTGTTCAACCCTCCCTGAACACTGCACACCTGCCCAGGTCATGGGGAACACTTTAACTGCAGGTTTGTAACTCCTGGATCACCTGGAATCCTTCCACGTTAGGAAGTGAAACGTGGCAGCAGAAAACCCTAAACATGCTGTAGTGTACTGTGTACACACAGAGAGGCAGGAGCCAACTACAACCCAAAATTACACGAATCCCAAACGAAGGGCAAGGTTAAAACAAGTAAATTTTGCATTTTTGCATGAACCAAACCCCTATTCTGTTGAAAAAAAAAGCACTTGTTTATAAATCATTTCAAGACTTTGTATCTGCTTTCTTCCATGCCTGAAAAAAAAGAATTCCAGCCTCTAGAAAGATTTTTTTCAAAAGTATTAGAAATTTTTTTTAAAAGCTGATGTTCATAGAATCATCACAGAGTCACAGAATGGTTTGGATATGAAGAGAACTCAAAGATCAACCAGTTCCAACCCCCTGCCATGGGCAGGGACACCTTCCACTATCCCAGGTTGATCCAATCTGGCCTTGGACACTTCCAGGGATGGAGCAGCCACAGGTTCCTCTGTAGCTCAGCACCTGCAACGTTCTCAGGAGCTGCCAGTTCACACCTTACTGCTAAAGCTTCTGTTGCCAACATAAAATTGGTGCAGCAGGAAACCAAAAACACACCACAAAGGTGAGGGAAACACCCAAAAGCCCCATTATTGCCCCTTATTTCAGGCTGCTGTGCACAAACAAACCCCCGCAGCCACCACACCTTACCTGTATGTTTTATGAAGCTCCACAACCTTCTCTTCGAGCTCTTTTGTCTGGTTTGGGGCCAGTTTGAACTCAGTGATGTAATCTGGGCCGTGCAGCTCGGGATCATAGTCCCCCAGCTCCGACTGGACCGTGTAGGAGCCCAGCAGGGCCAGGGTTGCAAAGGAGCAGGGCAGCCGCCCCGTGAGGATGTCCTGTCTGAGCTGAAGACACAGGTAATACCTGGGGGCAAAAGGGAAAATATTAATCACAGAGAAATTTATTAACTTGAGGATCAGACTCTTTTTTTTATGCCCCTGATGAACGAGCAGGGCGCTCGTTCCCAAGTTCTACCTGTGTTTTTACTCATTCCCAAGGTAAACAGTGTGAAGGTCTGGGGGATTTAAGGTCACCTCCACTCTGCAAAGGGACCAGAAAATCTTGGGTTTAGATAAAAACGTACTTTCCTCTACAAACACACCCATGCCAGGGTTGTACATGACATTGCTTTACCCAAGTGGACTCCAGTGGAGAGCAGGAGCATCCACACACCCACTGAGAACAAACCAAACCCCCTCCAAATGGGGAAGACATTTGATCTCCTCCCTGAAGGAGTTAAATATTAAACATTTCTATTCCATATTCACTGCTCTGCTCAGCGAGCTCCTGGCTGGCAGCAGATTCCCAGGGAACTCACCTGGTTATATCCTCTGTCAGCTGGGCAGGATCTGGAGGATAAAACTTGACATTGAAGGTAAAATCCCAGGGGCCTCCTGCAATGACAAAGGAGAGGTTGAGAAAAGCCAACACACCAGGACAGCTTTGTGACAGTCAGTTGTTATTAAAAAAGCTGGGAATATCCAACCTGATCTTCAACATTCACCCAGCAGATGTAACACTGATTTTATACTGCTCACTCTCACAGCTGGATGCAGCTTAACATCTGTATAAGGTATGGTTTTATTTATAGGGGGTAGGATACAAGCAGGAGAAAAAGAAGTAGGACAGGGAAATACACATAAATAAACCACTACTCGTGGCAAATATTAAATTCACTGCTAAGAAGCTCAAAGACTCCCATGTTCTTTCATTGCTTGAAAAGGGATTCATGAAGAGAGGGCAGGGGTGGGCTGTAAGTTAACGAATTAGGATTGGTTTATCACTCAAGCCAATTTTCAAATTTCAGGAGGGGATGTGCTAAGTCACTTCTCAGCCTAATGCACTGGGGTCAGGTGGTCAGACACAGGTTAAACTCAGCCCAACACAAGCATCAATCTTAGGATGAAGCCAGCAAGCACCAGGGTAGGAAGAGCTTTACAAGTCCAGACCTAAATGTTTAATACTTAATGTCTAAAATAGCACTTAATGGTTAAAATAATGTTTGCTGCAAACCTCGTGCAGCACCATTACAGGCATTAAGTGGAGTGAGAATCCACATAATCACACTAGAACTGGCATTATAAGTGGTCTGGCCAGCCTAGGTGCCACAGCTGAAGGGGTTACTCTCTCTTTTCCTTGAAAATAATCACATTTCCCAGCAGAAAACAGTCCTGACCGGGTGATTTTTCATAGTTACATCTCCCCCCTGCTGTGGCCCTTTAACACCAGGTCAAAATAAGATTTCTTTCAGAAAGAGAAGATCTGCCCCTGCACTTCACCCAGAGGTTTATCCCCATCTCACACAGGGAAGAGGGGGGACGGAGCATCCCTGGATTTACTTCTTATGCAACACCATAACTGGGATTAAACCCAAGGCATGTTGTTTTCATCACACACAGTTCAAACCAAGCGATTCCAGGAGGTCATTTTAGGGAGCAGAGGTTACCTAAAGCAACACACATCAGGGTACACATATTCCTACCCGCATTCAACCTATTTTCAAGCAAAATCTAATAATCTGCCATTTAACCCATCTCAGGGGATCAGATCCCATAAGAGGTTGCTGCTCATCACATTTACTAGATGAATTTTATGGATGGAGCAGCTCCTGCCCTTCAAACACATTTTGCTATTGATCCCAAGAGGAGCTGGTAAGACCAGGAGCTTTCCCTGCTCCACAGCCCTGTGGTATTTCCCCCCTAACCTGGATTTAGTGACACACTTTGCCCTTTGCCTCCCACCAAAAGCATCCATGAAACAGTATTTTACTCTCATAAAACAGCACTATACTTCCCAAACCCAGCATTTTACTTCCAAAACACCAGTGCTTTATATCCAAAAATCCAGTAGTTCACTTCCCAAACCCAGTATTTTACTTCCAAAGCAGCCAGACTTGCCCCCAAGAGAAAACAAAAGCCTCCAAGATGTTTATCTAATTTTAACACTGCCCTCGTCTTGAAGTAATTCAGTGGTAGCAGACCTTAAAATGCCACTCTGGAGAGCATCTGGGGATACCACTTGAGCCATTTATCATTCCAGTACCCCTATTTGGAGCCCAAAACAGCCTCAGAGTCCATCAAACCCTGCTCCAGCACACAGTTCTGCTCAGGCTCTTCCAAGTCTCCTTCAGTTCAGTGGTTCCCACTGACACCCATTTTCCCATCCTCCAGCAAGGAGCCATCTCCCATTCCAGCCCTGCAGAGCCAGTGTTGCTTTGCTCCAGGCAAACACGCCCCAAGCCGTGTTTTGCCAAGGAAATGACATTTTTCCCTAAATCCAGAGCATCCCTAAGTCCTTAAGAAGGAGAGAAAGGACGTAGAGACTGCCTGAACTTGTGCTGATCCCTGCCAGCCACCCTCACTTGACCTCTCCCCATCCCTGGGCCCCCTCCAAGGCCATGTTATTTAGGGAAGAAGGGAGAAACCACTCCCCCCTCCAGATGATAAATTCAATCTACTTACCATGAACCTGCTTTTTTATTTCTTTGGCAGGATCCAGCCACGTCTGTAAGAGGATAAAAACATTCACAGTTTAACAGACATTCCAGAAACGCCACAGAAAGCTGCAAATTGCTAAAAATATGGCGAAAAAAGACAATATTTGACACTCAGGCAGCCATGGAAACTGCAGAGACAGTGCATTTTTCACTACTTTTACTCCAGGCTGTGGTCTCGGGGGTGTATTTCCAATCATTCATCTACCAGGTACTCACAGGGGAGGCAGGAGGAACAGGAGGGGGGGAAAAAAAGGCAGGATATCGGGGCTGCAGGTACAGCCAGGTCACAGCCACATCCAGCTACCAGGGGCACTTCTACAACACCTTTTTTTTCCTCCACAACCCTTAAATATAGGCAAATAGGATGTTTACATTCATTTTAAGCACCCTGTCTCCTCACTTAGCCTACTCAGATCAAAGATCACCAAGACTTTCTATTATTAGCTCTGGGTTTTAACGACCTAATCACTGAAAATATGAGTGAAAACACCCAATTACCACAGAAGGCTGGAATCTTTCACAGGAGTGTGACATAAACTTCATTTCTTTTAACTATGACTCAAGTTTCTTCTAATTATCTCCGCTACAAATTTAGAAATGTATCCCTTTTTCCTCTCCCCTCTGTAATTTGGGGGTTTGTGGGATGATGGTGCAACATAAGCCACAAAAAACAAACTCCTGCTTTTTCCATGGTCTGAGCCTTTCCCTTTGGAGAGGTCAGGGTCTGCCCCACTGCGGGGGGATGGCACAGGGTTAATGACCCTCCTGGAGAGGCCACATTTAACCACCTTCTTCATTTTCACCAGCCCTGAGAAGGATTTAGAGGTCCAGGTCTCCCGAGGTGAAGGAATTAACTCATTGAATCCCCCAAGCTAATCTCTCCCGACCAGAAGGACACGTAACTTCGTGGCAGGGAGACAGCCATGCTTACATTTAATCTCCTCTTTTTATGGGCCTGTCCCTCTAACCTATAAAATGGGGGTAAAAAAATCCATTTTGGGGAAGGCAGATGGGCCACTTGCTGCCCCTTTTAGGGCCACAGCTTTAATTAAGCTGAGCATCTCCATGGCCCGGGCTGGTGCCACGGCTGCTCGTTCCTGGGTTGGGCAGCCCAGGGTGCAGTCATGCATCCCACCCCGCCTGAGCCAGCAGACAATGATGGGAACAGCAATTAACACCACTTTTATCCCATTGGGTCATGAATCAGAGGGAAACAATCCTCCCTTTCAGAGCAATGAGCTCCTTGCTGCTCCAGCCGCTGTCACAACCTCCTAATCCCGCTGTCACCCTCGGCCACGCCCAGGGGGGTAAATATCCCTCCCCAGAAGGTTTATTCCCTATATATCAAGGTGGAAAATGCCACATGCAAGCCTTCCCTGGCCAGGAATACACACATGTAGCTCTGCCTGCCCCACACAGCTGCAGGTGAGGTGCAGGAGCTCACCCCTGGATTCCTGTTAACATCATTTCTTCCTGTGAATCAGTAACTCCGTGTGGGGTCTTGTTTGAAGTTAGGGCAGGAGAGAGATGGAGCTTCAGACTTCAAAGTTCAATGAAACACAACCAGAAAGATTCCCAAAAAACCCTCCAAAAATGGTGTTTTTCCCCATCAGAACAAACCATACCAGGCTGCTCCACACTGGAGCTGAACAACACGTGGACAGAGGCTTCACACCTTCCTCAACTCTTGGCTCTGGGACACAGATGTGACAAAACAATCTGTTTTCAGCCCCTACAGTTAAAAAGCTCCACAACCTCTCAGCCCTTGTTAGCTGGAGGAAGGAGGTGCTTCTGCTTCTGGAAGAGTCGATGCTGAAAGCCTGGACAGGTGAAGAGCAAGCCCAGGGCTCTGGAATAATTAAGGTTGGAAAAGCCCTTTAAGATCAAGCCCAACCATTAACCCAGTACTGCCAGGTCCACCACTAACCCACATCCCTAAGCACACCTACATGCTTTTTGAACACTTTCAAGGACTCTTTTTGCTCTTAATTGGATATAAAAGTACACCTACCCTTCCCTCTGCAAGAACAAACTCCCAGGGTAAAAAGTATCCAGGCTTTATACACAGAAACAGATTTCACAGACAGGAAGATAGCAAGACATCAGAGACAGTAAAACAAACCAGAGTGGGAGCTCTGCCTGCCTCAAACAGTGACAGGGTGTTGTTATTTTGCCTGTGGATTAAACATCATAAAGTATTTAATGGCAAATGTCTGTCAGCCCCACAACCTGCCAAGGGTGAATGGTGCAGGTGCAGCAGTGGAATATTCAGAATATGGACCAACAGAACTGGGCTAAAGGACACAGAACTGGGCCCTTCATTTCAATTTAGCTTTTGGCTTTGTGAAACAAACCTTGAGTAATTGTTGAGTCAAAGGGTAACCAAGGGGTTTAAAAGATAAGACACCGCCCGAGTCAAACCAAACAAAGGCCTTAAACTGAAACCATGAGTAGGAGTTTTGGTATGGAGTCACTGGTGTTCTGCAGGGCAAAGCCTCAACTCCAAACTGCTCTGGGAGGCTCTAACCAAACCTTCCCAATGCTGACACCAGTGCCAGGGCAGCCTGACTTCTTCAGCTGGAGTTCTACAACTTAATGGCAGTGAACAACTTAATTTGCAGCAAACTAATATAACAAATTTTCTCCAGGTGAAGACCCAAGTTCACAAGGATTCCATCATTCTATGATTCATGCAGCCTTTTTACTAAAACCCACACTCCTGTACTCACTTTTTCACCATTTCTGCCTCTGTGATGACCCCCAACCCATCTTTAGGGAGGACATCAAAAGCAGTTTTAAGAGGAGGCTTTTCCCTCCTGCCCTGGGAAGATGATCCTATGGAAGAGCTGAATCCCCCCGGGGCCAGACCACCCCAGAACAGCAGCTGCTTACCCTGGAGGTTGGTGTGTCCCATATGGCCAAACCAAAGTAGTCTTCTTCCAGCAGATTGAGGTGGTCACAGACTTTTTTAAGGAGCTCCTGTCCCTTGGCATGTTTCTGCAAATAGAAGAAGAAATCCCGTTGGACAGGCTGGGTTTTGCCTGTTCTCACTCACAGCAGAGGGGAGGAAGGGAATGGCACCAAACCACACTGTAAGCCCTGAGTAGCTCCAAATCACAATTCCTGGCTGTTTCAGAGCAAGGACTCCTTATGGGAAAGAGCATCAGGCATAAGAATTCAATGGAGAGGCAACAGGAATGCAGTGGGTCTCTCTCTCCTGACCAGCTCCCTGTCTGAAGCCCCCCCAAAGCTGAATTTCCCATCAGGAGCTCAGTAAACACCAAGGATCTGTACAGCTTTTCCCTGCCAAGGGACATTCAGAGCCCCAATATCTCCTGGATCCAGGCTGTCAGACAACCAGGTGTGGATCAAAAGATGAACCTGCTGCTACGACCCACTGCTACAGTTGTTCATTTTGGGGACAATCTGACTTCTTTTAGGTTCAGAAAAAAAACAGCAGCTCGGACCCACAGCCTATAATTTCTTGTGGCCTTTCCATCACCCCAATCTGCTGATGAAGAAAACCACCTTCTCCTGTTTGCCTCCTGCACCCAGAGCTGCTCTTGCAGCACTTCTTGCCTCCAGAAACACACTCTGAGCATTCCTATTTCCTCTCTTCCCCCCCCCCAAATCCTGCAGAAGTGAACTGGCCCTAGGAACAAGATACCCTTTTAGTCCAAAAGCATGAAGGAAAACATCCCTGAGGCATAAAACTATGGCAACCAGGAGTAGCTCATTCCATTGGAGGCTTTGTTAGAAGAAAGTGCCGTTCCAGTGACGCAAAATCAGCTTCACTAATGCCTTGCTGGTGCCCACAGCTCTCCTGTCACTCATCTCTGCATGGCAACTGCTCCAAGACCCCTGCCTGGTTTTATTCCTTGGCTTTATTCCAGCCTTTCAGCTGTCAGGTCCTTTGTGCACACGTTGTGACTCTATAGGTAACATAATGTATGTGTTAGCCTGGGTATCCCTCAAGGAATTGGCAGTGATCTAGGAATGAAAAACCTTCCAGGGCTGTCAGTTGGAAAGGATGCCTGAAAGCACTAATTCTCCTTGGATAAAGGCATTTGTGCTGCTCTTTGCCTACACCTTTGCAATTCCTTCCCAATTAAATCTTAATAAACTCTCAAAACAGCAGAGTAGGATTACAGGGGTGTTAAAGCCCAGGGTGCCTGCCAAGTTAAGAGGGTCTCACTGACACAGTGGCCCCTCCTAATCCCCTCTGCAGTGCCCTCCACGATCCTCTGGACCTACAGACAGATTTCTCACGTCCTGCTCAAGTCAGGGCTCCCCCCCCACCAGCAATGCCTGTGCCAGTATCCAAAGGCATCATGGATACACCATGGCAAGCTGTCACCAGGATTTAGGGGAACAGTTCCCTTTTGGGGGGCTGCACACAACATCCCTGGCCCAGGGGAAGGAGTTTGGGGCAGGATGCTCTGAGCTGATCCCAGGCAATGCCAGCACCACCGTTACACAAACACTGACCTACTTGCCCAGGATCACCCAAGGTGACTGTTCCCACAAGGAATCCTGTGCCCAGATACCCTCTCCTGGCCCATTTACCAGCAGGACTGAGGGAAAACAAGCTGGTGGAACTATGCTCCAGTGGTAAGTACCAGATTATTAATATTCCAGACAAGTACTTCAATACTAAAATAGGGATTTCTGCTCGCTTTTTATTGCCCTGACAGCACCACATCCCTGTGAGAGAATGCACAGAAGAAAGCAGAAGAAAAGCTCTCAGATGAAGGGGTTTGCAGTGCTCTAAGTCAACATAATAATTTCTAAATTGTTTACTGCAAATATATTCAACTGCAGGCTAAACACAGCGTGTTTTTCTTTATATCCAAGCACCAGCAGCCTGGGAGGTGAAGGGACCTTGGGGAACTAGAAAAGCACAAATCAATTTGGCAGCCCATTTTTCTCAAAGGAAAGGGGGCAAAAGATATTTAGACTGTCCCAACTTATCCCAAAAACCTAAACTCTGATCTGGGATACAAATGGTAAAGATGATGAACAGCAAGTGAGATGAAGTTTGGGTTTGTTTTTTTTTTTTTTTTTTAAATCCTTCCTACCTTTATAAAGCACGACACCCTGGAATTGTAGAACAATAAAAAATAAAGATTCCTAGTACCCAGAGGCTTTTACAACACACTAAATAAGTTGTTATAGCTTACAGCAAGGCTTGTTCTGCAGTAAAGCCTGTCATGTAATTCCCTGGCAGCACATTAGGCCCCTATTAAATCGTGTTTGTGGTGATTTTTTGAGAGGAGCAGAAGGGAGACGGGAGAGAGGAGAAGCAGAACCAAACCCCACAAGTACTTACATCCACAGCACACTCAAAAATGGTGTCATCCAGCAAGACCACTTTGCAGTACATGTTTCTGTGTCTTTTCACTGCTTTCTGGGCAGCTTTCAAATCCTTGTCTGCTTTGGTCTCCGGAGTCTCTGGTTTAGGCTCTGGCTTGGCACACTCTTCCTTGGCTTCTCCTTCTTCCTTGTCCTCAGGGTCTTTGCCCTCTGGCTCCTGCTCGTCCCTCCTCTCCTCCTGTGCAGGCTGAAACCCCCCCAACACCCCAATTTAGAGGTGGCAAACAAGCAAACAAGGAGCATCACACTAAATAAGCACTGCAGGGCTGGGGCCTCACCCAAAATTCATTATCTGACTTCAACCTGCAACCGAGGACCTGGAGCAGCAGCTGGGGTGATCAAGGGAATGATATTAATTTTTAAAGCCCTTCCAAGTCATTTTCAAGTCTTCATTTAATAAAGGATGTAATAAAAAAGAAATAAGGGTTGATTAGAAAAATCAAGGCAGATTATATCCTGCAAATCTTCGTGGTGTTAATGACAGCACCTTTTGGACTGGGAAGGTTTTTGCCTCCCAGGAAAGACACTCAGTGCTCCCAGTACCAACCTGGGCCATGGGCTCTGCTCCAGTGCACCCACCCTCTACATGGCAAGGGGAATGGTTTTAAACTGAAAGAGGAGAGATTTAGATGGGATATTGGGGAGAAATCCTTCTCTGTGAGGGTGGGGAGCCCCTGGCACAGGTTGCCCAGAGAAGCTGTGGCCCCTGGATCCCTGGAATTGTTCAAGGCCAGGTTGGACAGGGCTTGGAGCAACCTGGGCTAGTGGAAGGTGTCCCTGCCCATTCCAACCCAAACCACTCCATGACTCTATGGCAGCAGTGGCACTAAAAGGGCTGGTCAGGGCTAGGATTTCACAGCCATCTGAGCTGACCAAGCAGCTCTCTGCCACCAAAAAGGGAAGGCAGCCCTCACACCACTGTCCCTTTGCCTACAGAAGCACTTTGTGAGCCAGTTTAATCCACTGAAATAGCAGAAAGAGATGCAGTTTGGGGGCAGGAGGAGGAAGGAAGCCTTTTTTTTTCCCCTCTGCCATTTCAGCAGGTTAACCGAGTTCACGGGAGGCTCTGACGAGCACTGGAAGGGCTGGATGCAGCAGGAGCACAGCTGCAGCAGGGGAAGAGCAAAACCTTGTCTGTTCAAGCCATCACATCTCATGAAATCACACCCAGGCACAAGTGCACGGAGGTATTTAAAAACTAAATAATGTCCACAAGCTGCTGACTTCTGTTCCAGCAGAACTGGGACAATCGGGAGCAGGGAATCAGTCAAAGCTCCTAATGCCCGTCGGTCAGCATTTATCAAACTGCAGCACCTCACAACTGCTGTCACAGCAGAAATATCTGCAGAGTGTCACAGTTCAGAAAGCCACTGACTGGGATCTAAAATAAGAACTGGGAAAAAAAAAAAAAAAAAAAAAAGGCACAAACGCTCCGTCTGAAGCGAACGGCCCGTGAAGGAAGGTTGGGGTGAGCACTCAGGTGTGCTCAGAAGCACTAAATCAAAGTTAAACTGAGGAAGAAATCATGTATTTAGAATCCCAGAATGGGTTGGGTTGGGAGGAACCTTAAAGATCATCCAGTTCTACCCCCTGCCATAGGCAGGGACGCCTTCCACTAGACCAGGTTGCTCCAAGCTCTGTCCAGTCTGACTTTAAACACTTCCAGCGATGATTTGCTCTTGAAAATACAACTTCTGGGTTGAAAATTTCCAGCTCCTTCCCATCCTGCTATTCCCAACCCTCAGAGGTACAGAACATGAGCAGAGACCATCCCCTGGTTTTCACAGGCTCAGAAATTTGGGAAAAGAAAGAAAAATGTGTTACCTACCTTCTCTACAGCTTTGTAATTTAAAGGAGGTGGATTTACAGTTATTGCCTACTGGCAATGCTGGAACTTGTATTGCTCTGAATTCCAGTGTTTGTGGGTACCTGACAGTGCTCTGGAGCCACTCTGAATGAAGGCAGTGGGTAAGAAATCCAAATTTCACCCTGCACGTTCTGTGACTCCAGCAGCACATCCAGGTTCGCTGGGTTGCAAGAAATCCCCAGCTGAGGAAAAAGGACACCCTTCTCCAAGTCCAGGCACAAGTAACAGCAGAGCTGCCATCACCCAAGGAGTAAGAGAGGGCACCCAATACCCCCAAACCAACAACCAGCTGCAGCTCTGTGAATGTGCCCTGTGTCTGCCTCAATTTCTACTTTAAATTTTAAAACTTCGCATATTTTGCACAAAAAATGACCCTGGCTGGGAAGAGCAGACACCAGACAGCTACCAGGAGCTGGGCTCAGCCCACGAGCCTGCAGAAATCCCTGTCTACATGATGCATAAGCAGAAAATGTTTGTATTTGGCAGGCTCAGCACCAGCCCAGACTGAGCAGATGACCAAGTCCTGAAATGCTGCGCTTGCGCTCCTTGAAGCTGAAGAAACCCTTCCCTAAATCCAAGTCCTCCACCTCAGGCCACTGACCTGCCCTTATCCTGCTCACACCAAGGAGATCCCAACTGGTTTTGGACCCTCTGAATGTGAACCCTCGTTCTGAGGTGACATCCCAGCCTCAGCAGAGCAAGGACTCCTCACAGGGCATTTTAAGTTATGCTGGGAAGCACTGAGCACAATTCCCAGAGCAGGTTCTTGGCAGGACACAGTGATGCAGGGAGAAGAGTGGGAAGTACACGATGCAACACAGGGAGCTGACACCTCACCAGCTTTTCTGGTCAAGCTCACCAGCCTGGGATATGAAGTTTTTGGCTACAAAGACACATTTTTAGGACAGCAGGGAGCCCATCCCACAGGACGGGGTGGTTTTTTACCTGTGTTTCTGCACTGCTCAAGGAATGGAGATCCAGTGACGGGTCAGTTTTGAGCTCGGGCTCAGGAGCTGCGATCGGCGCTTTCACCAGGATGTCTTCATCGGGGCTGGCTCCTAATCCTGCGCCTTTCTGGTCACCTCCTGCCTCTTTAGGAGCATCAGTGTCTTTTTCCTCTTCAGACACCTGAGACTTGGGCCTCCTGAGGAAGGAGGAGAAGAGGCGGGATAGGCCCCGGCCCTCGGAGGTGCGACGTTCCTTCTTGCTCTGCTCCTCGTGCGTGGGGGTGTCTCCGTTGGAGGCCTTCTGCTTCTGCCCCTGCCCCTCTGACGTAGGCTGAGCCCCTTCCTCCAGAGAAGCCTCCTGCTTCTGTGCTTCAGCAGCTCCTTCCTCCTCCTTGGCTTGCTGCTGGTCCGAGCTGTCGGCGTCCGCCGCTGGGCTCTTCTCTGTTGTCATGGTGGTGCTGTAAGAGAGGAGCAGGAGGGCTCAATCCAGAGGTGGTTTCCAACATTCAAGCCTGGTTGAGCTGCTCAAGCCAAGCCACGAGCACAGACACGCCACGCTCACCAGTCACACCAGCCTGCCACAGAATCACAGAACGTTCTGAGCTGGAAGGGACCCACAAGGATCGAGTCCAAC